TTTTCTCAAATTTCTTTGTTCTCTCTGTTATTTTAACTCACGGTAGCTAATTCAGGTTAGCAATTCTGACTTAAGAACATTTTTAATCTGTGGACATAGAACATTGGTTAACCTCAATAAGCATTTTACATATAACCAATCTTGTCTACAGATGCAATCAGTTAATTGAAAAATCTGATGAAGACACGTCCGCTGTGAGCTTCTGTTGAAGCTGATGAGCTCTGTTGAAGCTGATGCCAGTGCTGTGACAGATTTGCAACACCAGATTAAAGTTGGGTGGATGGAGCTGTTATCATCTCTCCCTCTCAGTTGCCCTGTCCTGTTAAATGGTGCTGCTGTCTCCATGGCAGGGTGTCTGATCCACAGGGAATCAGGTCCTGAACTGGCACAGATTTTGGTCCAGGATAGTAAAGAAAACTGAGCTCTTGGGAGCAGTAATCACTATGGTTATCCTATATAAATTTGCCACCACAAGTCTGTCAGAGCCCATAGTAACAAGATGTACTATCCCACTGGAAAAAATATAAAACTATATCATCAAATGTTTCCTTAAAGAAGGGAAAAGGCTACCACTTGCTGACAATAGAGTTTGTGAAATATGAATTAACATGGCTCTGCTGTTACCTAACCTGAAATGACCTATCTGAGGACTAAATGTGTTCTTGCACAAACACGCTGTATGTGCGATACGCAGGACCCTGTCATCTCCTTTTCTGTAATAAAGCAAGGAAAAATGAGATGCACCAACCAACCTACAAAACACTTGCTTTCGTGTCAGTGTGTTGTCTTAGCTGACATGCAGATCCATGGAGTGCTTTGTGATCAGAGTTAAATGGGACCCGAGTTGTTGAAATGAGGGCTAGGAAAACAAGTATGACTATGTTTTCTGGCTTCCTTGCATATAACAGCTTGAACATTATTCCACAATAAGGCCAGGCCTGACTTGTCAGTACGGTGGCAAACAGTGTGAAGAAGAGACATGATGTTCAATGTTTACAAATTATCACCCAGTCCATAACTAGGGAGAATGAAACTTGTAGGAGAAAGATTGCCATTGGGAAGCCGTTAATGGTACACAAGCACTCAAGAGCAAGCCTGGTGGGAAGCGTCAGCCATAGCACTTGAGGTTGCCAGGCACACTAATATGACACATCATTACTAGCCACTCGCAACCGTTGACCAAAATCCATTTTCTCATCAGTTATACAAGCTAGTGTCTGCTGAGGGGTGGAAAAATGAGCACATAATGACACAGGCTTTGAAAATATCTCTTACAAAAGAATTAATCCATCCACAGCTATTGCTTGCTGATAGTTATCACAGGCCGAAGCTTGCAAGTCTTCCGTAGACACATGAAAGACACACTGACGCACAAGTCACAGGAAGGTCACAAAAGAATGAACAGCATCCATCATTCAAACCAAGTAGAGAAACAAAGGGATTACTTGTTTTCCTTTTGCAACCGATAGGCAGCAAATAGTTCTTTGACCTGTATTGTAGTGTATCTATAGCCTAAGTATTTTGGTTCTAATTCAGCAAAACTCTTTAAGGGCTTAAGCTCAACCGAAACTACATTTGAGTATGTGCTAAGGAGAACTGGGACTATTGGACCTTTGAAGAGAGGTGGGACTGAATTCTCCAAAGTTGTCCTGCTTCTTCAGGATGTATTCTGCATGTTTGCCCAGGATGTATTCTCTGTGTGTGTGTGAAGTGTGTTTGCAATGACCTGCTCTGGAGGTTACAAAAAAGCAACTCCATGCTGCAGGCTGCAGCAGTGGAATAGAGAAAGACCCTGGGTCAAACACAGATAAAAAAAGGCACCAAACATCATGGGAGTCTCGCTGAGGAACAGTGGAGTATATGTGATGTGAGGACTGTGAAAAAACAAATGCCTAAAAAATGGAGTTGCACACTGTAGTCTTCACATAACTCCTATGTCCTCCCTAAGCTATAAATGTCTCGCAGTAGAGCACGTGTCTTCTGATTTCAGGCACCTTGAGGAAAGATACACAGCGTGCTGGAGGCATGCATTATGGGGAACCATCTTCCCTAGGGCTGCCCATAAATCTGAGCCTGAGCTTCCCAGAGGTAGGAGTCAGCAGATTTCTGTCTGGGAGGATGCTTGAAACACCTCAAAAGCCTACAGAGGAAGACACAATAATGGCGCTCAGATATGAAAGCAAAGATGAGTTGGTTTTCATTTATTGCTCGTATTTTCCTTCCTGTAGTGGTGAAATACGGTACCTATTATTCCTGGCATCCTTTGCGTTACACTGAATCCCGCCCTTGCTCTTGCTGTTAAGCTCTCTGCTTCGGATCTCATTTGCTAAAGGAGTCTAAGGAGGAATTTTCTGTCTCCAGAGCACAGATTCAAACCAGCGCTGTTTCACCAACTGCGTGTAGGCAGAGTAGCCTATCCAAGGATACTGGCCTCACATCGCAAGATGTGGTTTGAGGGAAAGAATAAGTCACACGGTATTTATGGCTCTAAATCCCTCTGCAGTGCACACTGGTATTTACTGTTGAAGAGCTAGGGATCCTCTTTTTCAGACATTCTGGAAGAATGGGGAGGGTTGTGAACTGAAGACTGAGGGGCATACTGGGCGAGAAATCTATTTGGGCATATATTAAAACAAGAACATAGCATAGAATATACTGCAACGAAGTAGGTGCCTGTCAGGTAACCTTGCATCTTTTTTCCTGTGTTGGTGGTCGATCAGCCTCATCCTCCTCTAACTGTTGTCCCACCTATTATTTTCTCTCTCCACTGCAGTGCCACCTCTGTTATGTGGGTTTAAGCTCGTTGCAGTAAACAATATACCTGCCTCCGCGTTGTGTCAGAAATAGAGCACTTTGGGAATTTTCTGCTTAATCTAGTATTTGTCAGAACATGTTGACTCGTCAGAAGTGAATCTGCAGGAATGTATCAGTTTTAGCAGTTTCTTGGGTGGAAGCGCTGGCTGAAAGGAGGCAGTCAGTCAGACCATTGCCGGGACCTTCGCTCGGCGCGGGCGAGGCAGGGACGTGAACACGGTTGTTCTTGGACTGGGTGTGACTTCTGGGTGTTTCACACAAACTTTGAAAGCTCTTGGTTTCATCCCAGCACAGAGCAGGAAAAATTCTGTAATAGCAAGAAGTTTCAGAGGATGAGAAAGTGGTTTCCTGCCCTATACAATATAGAAGTCAGCACTCTGTGTACTGGGGCTATTTTCTAATTATAGCAATGTCCCTGCTCTTTTTTCTTTTCTTTTTCTTTTAAACTTAAATCCATATTTGATTTGTTTCCAGGATTCTGTTATCGCTAATTAATATCAGAAAATGTTGTTGATATGAAGGAAGATCTTCATTTCTCAATACCAGAAGTGTGACTTGTTCTTACCAGCTAATACTTGCAAATAGCCTGTGTTTCTGATTTTTATCCCCAGCTCTCGATCATGATTCTTATCAGATAACAGGGAGGAAGAACAATTCTTTGTTTCCAAAACCTATTATTTTGTGTAATTAATGAGGTAAGCCACAGAAGAGTTCAGTGGATGCTGAAATAAAATGCCACAAGGAATGCAGGAGAATTATTGATGGATTGTTTTAACCAATCTAGTGAAAACACTGGATTTACACACAGCTGAAACAGTTCTGGTCTGTAGTCATCTTTGCATTTTGCCTGAAGTCTTAATGAAATAAAAAGTCAATACAGAGCTCCTGGTTCCTATTATTAGTTTGTAATTTTCAAGGTTGTCTATTTAAAACCCTTTCAGTGGTCATAAGCATTTCTATATTAGCAACAATCGCTTAACTATAGTCAAACTATAAGTATTTTCCCAAAGTATGTGATCATATTGCTGTTAGAATGCATAATTGTTTTCTCCATGAAGAAGCTAAATTTGGCTTAACAACTGTGTCATGGCATTAACAGAAAATGTCTGGTGTGACAGGGCATAGCGTGGACACTGCACCGAAACGCTCATAACCACAGTTCATTTAATTGATCTTCCGAGGGGGTGAAATATCACACTAGTCATCTGCCTTTGGTTTTTCAAGCCACATCAAACAATTGTGTGGAGAAGTAAAAAAAAAGAAAAGTGCTAGGTTTTTTGATTTCATCAGTTAATGGCTGTAGGTCACTTGATACCCCTTTGTTTACAATACAGTGATATGCCTGTATCTTGTAAAGGTTCACCAGAGTGACTTACTGCTGTGGTACAGAGCCCAAAATAAAACTTGCACATGCCAGGCACCACATGGTGCATAAAATATTCTAACAATATATTACAAAACCTTGTCAACACTAGGGAAAATGACTATTCCAAGAAGTAGAGCTGGCTGAAAAAAAACCCAAACATTCTTTTCTCCAAACTGGGCCCTTATGAAAGACAGTGATCTGGGGAGCTGGAGGGAGAGAGAGAAGGGGTTTTCTTCCTTTGGTCGGGTGGAGAGAAGTCTTTTTCTTGGTTAATCAAAAATATCAACAATAATAAAAGAGAAGTCCACTTCCAGCTCAAATCTTCACATTATTTCATGTCTTCCTATTTCTCATTTTTGAGCAGCTGTGCCGAGAACCAGCTCAGCCCCTTGAGGAACTTGCCAAATATCTTATACTCGCACACTGAAGCGCTACAACTGCTTTGTGTGCAGTTGTGTCCTCAGCTACTTGTGCACCATCTTCTTCTAAACCCTATCAGTCAGCTGGTTTAATGCCAATGTGGAAGTAGTCATCTCTCTTCTGCTGCTCTACAGCACACTGAGGGGTCTTACAAAGTTCATCATAAGAAAACCCTTCTGTGAATTGTTCTGAAAGCAGTGAAATGGGTATGCATGAAGAACAGTAATCATAGCAGTTTCTGGCACAAGACTATTAATGGCAATAAGCAAGATTATGACACTTCTTAAACTGAAATGCAGCCCAGAAACGGATTTCTGTTGACTGATAAACTGATGTTTTAGTACATGAAGTATAACCTCTCTTTCCTTTGAATATATTTTGACAGATTAAATCTCTGACAATGAAGCCTTTTACTGCATATCCTTCTGGGTTTATCGTATTCCTGTTTGCCTTGCTGCAGCGGAGCCATGGACAATGCAAAGAAGCAGCTAAAAAATCAGAGATGAATTTGAGTGTAAAATATGATCTTCCTAACTTCATCACAGAAACGCCAATTCAGAATGTGGTTTTATACAAGCATCATGTTTATATTGGAGCAGTCAACAAGATTTATGTACTAAATGAAACTCTCCAGAACATTTCTGTGTACAAGACTGGGCCCGTTTTGGAGAACCCTGACTGCGCGCCATGCGAAGACTGCAAAGATAAAGCCAATTTATCTAACAGCGTATGGAAGGATAATGTCAACATGGCACTGCTCTTAGAAACTTATTATGATGATCAGCTCATCAGCTGTGGTAGTGTGTCCGGAGGTGTCTGCCACCGTCACATCATTCACCCTGACAACCCTGCTGATATCGAAAGCGAGGTGCACTGCATGTATTCACCCCGGGCGGAAGGAGAAGCAGATAATTGTCCTGACTGTGTTGTAAGCACTTTAGGAACCAAAGTTTTGGTGACCGAAAAGGACAGGTTTGTCAACTTCTTTGTTGGAAATACTGTGACATCTACGTTTCAGCCTCCTCATGTGCTGCATTCAATATCGGTCAGAAGGTTAAAAGAAACACAGGATGGTTTTGAGTTTCTCACAGATCAGTCTTATATAGATATCCTCCCTCAGTTCCGCGACTCATATCCCATTAGGTATGTCCATGCCTTTGAAAATGATCACTTTGTCTATTTTTTGACTGTCCAGAGAGAATCTCTCGACTCCCAGGCTTTTCAGACTAGAATTATCCGCTTCTGCACTTTAGATTCAGAGATGCGTTCTTACATGGAAATGCCTCTTGAGTGTATTTTTACCGAAAAGCGGAGGAAGAGGTCCATCCGAAAGGAGGTATTCAACATTTTGCAAGCTGCCTACGTAAGCAAGCCAGGTGCAGCTCTAGCCCACGAAATGGGCCTTGGGTTGAACGATGATATTCTCTATGGCGTTTTTGCACAAAGCAAACCAGACTCTTCCGAACCAACCAACAGATCTGCTGTCTGCGCCGTCTCCGTGCGAACAATCAACGAGTTCTTCAACAAGATTGTCGACAAGCAGAACATGAAATGTCTCCAGCACTTTTACGGGAAAGAGAGCAAATACTGCTTAAACAGGGTAAGTGACAATTAATTTGTTACATTTTGGGACTCTTGTTCTCTCTTTGCCTGCTCTATTGTCAGGTAGCTGTCCCCTCAGTTTTACTTACAAAGTCCCTGATCATTTCAGATTACTTAGTATGGCTGATGATTCATCTCTGTAAGGATTGAGTATGAAAATCACTGAGGTTCTTATGGTTCTAAAAAAGTATGAGTGGAACTGGGGAAAAAAACTTCTTTTTTTTTTTTTAATTTGTAAGTAATTGTTTTTCTTGAGAAACTGGGATGCAGATAAATGGAACATTTAGGCAGTTATTTCTTTTAATATCTCAAAAAAGTATTCATTAACATTAGTATCCATGTGCACTGAGGAGTCCCTGAAAATATCACTCATATTTTAAACTATGTTAATGCTGAATCACTGCCGTCCTTAGAAAAAAATGAAAGAGCTGGTTTGGAACATGGAGAGCCAGATTGTAATCCAATTACTCATGCTTGATACATAAACGGTCCCACTGAAATCAGTTTTCTTAATGAAAGAAGTGTCTATGAAAAGTGTATCTGAATGAGGATGCCAGCAGTCTCGGGTGGGAGGGTTGCCTCTCTATACACCATGTGTTCAGGTGGTTGCTGCTTTCCAACCATCTGAAATATTCTATGTGAAGGAAGCACAGAAGTTATTTCTTCCCTTCTGGCCAGTGTCTGTGCCGGTGTCAGGAAATACAGAATCTGGTAATTGGGTACTTTTAACATTTATTTTGAAACATGAAACATTAGAGCTTTCAGTTGTACCTGCTTATGCAACAGGGCCTTAAATGTCCTCTCTGGGGAGCTTTCTTTTCTCAAATACAAGAAAATTGGAGCTCAGAAGTGGCACGCTGTCCTCTACCAGAGGGCAGGGCCAGAGCTGTTATGATGGGGCTCTGCTCAGCCTTGCGAGCCAGGACGCGGCCTCTGTCAGGATGGAGCAACAGCTCTACCTGCATTTGGGGCTGGATGGGATCCATCATGCCCTGTTGTTGGGATGGCTCCTGGTGAGAGTGGGAACCACAGGGCTTCATCACCCCTGATCCACCAGAATCTTCCTCAGCACGGATGCCAAGCACGGAAACTGGATGACCTTTGGAGGTCCCTTCCAACCCAGACCATTCTATGATTCTGTGATTCTATGACATCAAGATGGGGCGGTGGCACATGCCCTGTTGGAGCTGGAAGCCTCTTGCACGAAGTAGAAGGGCTGCTCTTCACTGCCAGGGGTGAGACGGGGTGGTCTGGGGAGAAGCTCCGTTACAGAGCTGCTGTGGCTTCTCCCCAGTAGCGGGAATGTGCTCAGAGGTGGGTCTGACCCAGTCTGAGCATCATCACAACAGCCTCAGCATTCAGGGGATGACTGCTCCAGACGTTCAACACAGATGTAGGCATTGCCGGTAGATGCTGATACAGCAACCTCAACAGTTGTAGCATTTTATTCCCTTTTTTGGGGGAGAAAGGCAATTTTCAGGAACTAAAAGGAAGTTGGCAAACATTCAGCACAGTAACTTCTTATCGTTCTTCACTGTGTTATTGCTGTCCTAATTTGTCATTTCAGGTCTTAATATCCTTTTTTTTTTTATTATTTTTCAGTTCATTTTTAACAATGAACATTGTTCTTCTCTGAAAGTACTTTTTTTTCCTTATTCCTGGGGTATTTTATTTGTGAGTGACTGTCTTTAAAGCTCATGGCCTTTAACTTATCTCATTCTGTACTCGCCTATACACCCGTTTCATAAGGTGATCTTTTCATAGCAAAGTATACCATTAAAATATTGACAGAATAATTTGCCGCTTTTCACATGCTGGGAAGTACTTTCCTGTTTCAAAAGCTTTTCCAAAGTCTGCTGCTGCTTTGCATATCAGAACTGAATGTCTTATACTGCAGACTGTTTATTATAGTTGCCCATTTTCAAGAAATGTCATCAGAACTCTGATTTCTGCCACATTAAATTGATAAAGGGAAAAATGTTTCTGTGATTTCTTGTGGTTCCTTTAAATGGCATAAAGGCAGTCAGAAATTTTTATCCTGATTGTTTGCTTAACACTGAAATATCAAGACTGTCAAGCTTTGCCATTCCATTTCCCTTGCCGTATTCCAGAGAACTCATTAAGACTCCAATAAAAAGTGTCCTGTGAGTTTTTTCAGGTTTCGGTTGGCCAAAAAGATTGGCAAGAATTTGCCAAGCATCCTTTGTATGCCTGTTTTTCTCAGGTGTGTAAAATAGACCAGCAAGGTTGGAAGGTGAAGGAAGGGAAGGAGCAGGCAGAAGGAGGAAAGCACATTATTTCTTATGCTTGTGCAGGAATGTCAAATCTGGTCTTCCTTGATTTTGCTGGAGATAAAATAATAATAAAAAAGAAGAGTCCCAAACCCCTCAACTCTTTTTAGGCCCTTTTTTGTACATTATAAAAACGTACATGAGGGCATAACCCGTTTTTTCCCTTTTGTAAGTCACCTTCAACTTAAAAGAAAGCTTTTATAAACTGTGAGAGTTTGTCACAGTTTATTTTGGCAAAATTCAAAACTTGCTTTTTGCAATGTAGCCAAGATGATCTTTCTCTTTGATGTTGAGAGAATGAAACCACAGACCACTGATGCAAGTGAAAGGCACTGACCACTGTGAGATTAAGTCATGGGACAGTGAAAACAGTACAGCAGTGAATATGGTATACCACTAACTTCAACATTAAAAAGAAAAATAAGCCTTTAGCAATGTTTGCAAGGGAGTGCTATCTGATAATTTACAGTTAGGGTCGGATTGATGAAGGCCATTTCATGTTATCAAAAAAAGTCCCACAAGACAATTGTACATAATTTTGTTGGCCTTTGGATAGTCCGTCTTTTTAAGTGGCGGTCCCTCAGGACTGTTTAGTCTGAGGCTGCTAAAGGTAGAATTAGACCAAAATAAACCAGAATAAAACATCCAAAACACTTCTTCAACTCGTTCTTCTCAGATTTTAAGCATTAAAAAAAGTACTTCAACTCATCTTGATGTGGTTGACAAAATTTGTTAGTTTTTAGCCTTGTTTCCTAAAGGAATGAAGTTTATGTGGTCATGCTATTGTATGCCTGTCTTTCTGTTAGTTGTCCTGACAACCTCAGCAATAAGAAAACTTAAAGATGTGAATCCAGGTGTGAACCCAGAGACAGATACAATATGTGCTCAGGCTGTGGAAACCAATGAAGTTTAAGGAGCCCCTTTATACATATCAGAAGGACGTACAGGGGCCAAAGCAGGTATTGCTCACCCATGGGAAAAGTCTCCGTCAGAGCTTAGTTGGACAGCAAAGTCAACCAACCACAAGATATAAATCCAGACGCAACTCTGCTTCACTTATTCCAGTGCTCATGGAAAACTTTATAAAATAAAAATAAAACATTTCCAGTTGTGTTTAAATGAAATACATAAAAAGCCAAAACCTGGACTCACTGAAGTCAGGGTTAGGAAAAGTGAATCCGATGGTGCATCTGATCGGTATCAGATGTACTTTAATGGAGCTGTGACCAGTTAGCGCTTCCTAATAATTTCCTTCAGTGAAGAGCTGGCTGTCACTTTAATGACAGCAAGGAGGAAACAGAACTGGCTTTGAATTAAAAGAAAAATTTGGAGTCATAGTAAATGGGTATTATTGCCCGAGTCAGGACAAGGATATCTGAGAGGTAGCTGCTGTGGAGGGTTTTGAATCACTGTTCAGGAATCTCCTCAGCCACAATGAAGAGAAGACTGGATGTAGGCTTTTAGCAGAGTTTATTTGGTCACAGTTAGTCACTGTCAGCCCTGGTGTGGTACTCCTCAAAGCAGAAGAGTACTTAGGTGGGGAGTCAAATGCTGCTAACTTCATTTGCAGACATGATCCAGAAGTGTGCACCTCTGTCATGGATTAAATATAATTCTCCAAGTGAGGAAGATGGGTTGAGTTTGGCCTTGACAATCTCAACTATACATTTCAATTGCCATTAGTTAGATCATGATCTTATGGGCTTTGTTTAGCCTTTCTGCACTTCTTATGTGCTAAACAATTGTGAGCTCAACTCTCCTCTGATGCCCAACTTCAGTCGCTATTGACTTCCATGGAAAAGCACCTCTAAAAATTAAATCCAAATGCAGCTCTGTAAAGTTCCTGTGGTTTTGTTTCTTCTACGGGTAAATCAGGTGAAAGCCTAAAGTACTCCATTCACTTTACAGGAAAAGAGAAACGACAGACAGGCTTTTGCCACCATGTTCCTAACAAGTGTCCTAAAGCAAGGCAAACTGGCTGCCACTCCTGTCAAATGAAAGGCACAAACAGTTGGAAGAACGTGAAATGAAAACAGAAGATCACCAAAACAAAAGATAAAGTGACAGTAAAATAAACACATGGTGATGCTTCTTTATTACCATTATACACATGATAGATGAGTAAAATTGGGTTATGCTTATATTGTAATGGAAGAAAATAATTGCTGCCTTCTATCAGGAAACCGCAAAGGCACTTATTGATCTGTCATCCTAAGGGTATGTCTAGGAATATTTAATAAAATAAACAGAGACAAATAACTCTTTTGAGGCCCTATAACTGTAATATCCCACACCATTTGGCTTAAAATTTTTGGCAGGTTTAAAAATAACACCACATTTCTCTGATTAGGAAGGGTTGATGCGGCTTATTTAGATAATCTCACAGCATGGAGGAAGTGTTTTTTATACAGCAAGTAGAATGTGCCTCAATATTTTCCCTAAAAGTCAAGCACCAGAATCCATTGGATTGGTTCAGTCATTTATTCCTCTAGAAATGCTCTATCAAATGGCATACAGCACTCTGCCTGGCACAAAGCCTACTCCCATCCGTACAGATTTTGTTCGAGCTTCTCTATGGGTTCTGACATCTCAGAAGAATAAACGAAGAGGGACTGGGTGATGGGCAATGTGCACTGACACCCTTTAAAACAGGCTTAAACCATAGTAGCAAGGTGACAGGCTCCATCCACGTTCCTGTTCTGCGCTC